GCTTGTGATGTGGGGCCCGCCGGGCTGGGCCGGCCAGCACGCGCCTATCCCCCCGCTGCCGCCCCCTCCTCCTCCTCCTCCTGCTGCTTTTCTTATCGGACCTTGGCCGCCGTGGGAAGGCGAGGAGTCGCGCGAGATTTGGCTGCGCTAAAACTTTCTTTTGCACCAGTCAACGGACGATACGTAAAGTGAGTCCGTAGTTTTGTATCCGGGTATGTTCCTCACGTAGAGCCTCTGCGACGGAAGTGCACCCCCGATGTGCAGTGCAGACTAGTACTGCGCGCGCATGGCACCACCGCAGCTGCTGGAGGTTCGGGCCGTGATATCAAATTCTCGTCATCATTTCGGCATGCCTTCCTTGTTTATAGACAGGGGGGGGGGGCTGCTTTCCTCTTGAGGGGAAAAATTAAAAGAGGTGTGGGGGCTCTTAATGAGTAACGTGGTACATATACGTAGTGCGGTGGTGAGGGAATTTACGCAATTTTCTTGAAGCGTAGTTGTAGCGTGACGTACGTAGCTGCCTGCTGGTCGCTCGACTTGTCCTATGCGACTCGTATGCGACATATTGTAACGTTTAAGCACGACACCCTTCCTGGAGGACTCGCTCTGCCCAAAACCGTACAATGACCACCCAGGCCGAGCCGCCCTCTGGAGGTGTGCGTCAGAGTCCTCGGGCCGGAAAGGAGATCCACCGGTCCTCTCCCCACCGAGCCACCGGGGCGACCACGCGGCCACGACGACGTCGTCGTCAACGAGGTTGCCTCGCCGCCCTGGCCCCATTGGTCGATGCACCGTGCCACCTTCCTTCCCCTCCACCCCGCCATTTTATGCGAGAGCGCTTCACGGAAAATATGTGCCGGTTCGAGTCCAAACCTGTCGGTGATGTGCGTGCGGCTCGCAGTCTGCGGCCCTCTGAAGCCATCTCACAATCCCCCCCCCCCCACCTTCCCGAAATTTGTCCAAAACGCAACCAAAACACGTGTATCCATAGTTCTGACCACACGCCCCGCGGCGCACCGCGGTGGCGGTCGCAGGATGGCGCTCCCCGGCCCGCGGCGGCGGGCGGCGGCCCCGCCTGGCCCACACCGAGGCTGCATTCATTTTATTGAATGCGAGAATTATGGTCTCTGAAAATTTTGCTCATAAAATACCCTCACCTACGCGGGAATATTATTCCGGTGCGAGGGGGGGAGG